AGTACTGAGTGGTCAGTAGTGGTAAACGCCGCGGGCAACTTACGGTGTACAAGTAAAGGAATATTTCCTTTGCTAACATAGGTTCCTAAATCGTTCCCAGGTTGATTAAAGGCAGTCATAGTGCTGTGAGCCACTCTCTGATCCATCAAGTTGTGTTCGTCTAGGTGATCAACAAATCTACATTTATGCTTCCTATTAACTCCATAATGGTCTCAAAACATTCCGCCAACGTATTATGTTGATGATGATTTTAAACATTGTCGCAGTTGTGTCTTTTGAAACATAAAATACCTGACTTCTACTCATATTGATCTATCTTACATCAATAGACACTCGATATATCAGATTCAAATAAGTCAGAATGCCATTCACCATATTTGACACATAACAAAGCCCCGTTATTATATTTTAATGTTATACCGCTGCATGTACTGCGAACAATCGAAATATCCAACAGGCACAGTCGTCTTCACGCAAATACACATTAGCCTTGCACAAATTCACCGACTGGTACTGGATACAATCAGTGGAGTATTTCTATCCAGCGATCTATAATGCTGATTTGACCGCGATAACATTGCCTGTATACAGTGATTGTAAGCCTCGTATATCTAGGTATGTGTTTTCTTATAATCTAACACACATAATGGAACATTTAGTCGCCGCGTACAAGGCACGGCTCCAACTCGGGCACGGTTTGTAGCATGGAACGGTCAATGCGCGTGTAAGGATTCGTGAACCTGGCTTAGCGCCAGCTCACAGATATATGATATTAATATGATATACATTTAGAGTTAATACAAGTGCAGTTCAGACAAAGATATTTAATGGAATGAAGTGAAGTTTCCAAAGGAGTTATGAATCAGATAAATCCTATTGAAACTTTGAAAGGCATGTTAAAGAAATGGAATTTGTAAGGATGTTCAGCCATGAATAATGCCTAATGAAACGCTTAGCGTGTGTTTGCATGTTCAGTACTGGTCACGTCACGAAGAGACCACACGGAGATATCCTGTGTTGTGTCGGGAGGCTGAAATCAAGGAGATCACGACTAACAATTGCCAGTAACAGATTCGAGATTGGTATCACCGGCAACTGCTCGTATCTGTTCGTGTGTAGCCGACTCTAAACAAAGGGAGAGTTACGTCCCTTGTCTACCGGGTCACGAGAGAGTGGCTCCCCTTTTGGCGAGATCTGTGTCCTTTGACGTGATTCCCGTCAGATTAGATATCGCTTAGCCTGCTACAATATCGATCTTCATGAACTACTGATTGAAACAATTCAAAGGAGTATTAGTTGCCGTTTTGTCACAATAGACATCGATCAGGACAGAGATCGGTTGGCTGGCGGTGTCAGCCAGGGCGGCCATTCAGGTGTGAGGAAATACCTATAGATTTCTTATTACTCCTCTCCAGGGATAATAAGGGTTCCATACACCAGTGTGTTGGAGCTGCCGTCACTGACCAGGCGCGACAGCCCTTCCCCACGTCCCTCACCAAAGACCAGGTAAGTTCCTAATATAGGACATTTTTTGGACTTATTATAATTATGAATATTATAGTAAAAAATTTCGTTAAGATATTTTGTTTTCCATACGAAACTGTATTCAGGTAACAATTTATCTATGTCTTTGAAATCTTTGAGTATTTTGTTTTTCATCAAAGACTATCTTCTAACCACATATATGCTGTCTAATTGTGATCATAACTATTGTTGTAAATCCACAGCGACGCCATGTCCTCACGACTGCGACCTGTGCCAGTCACAGCCAGAACGTGCACAACTGACAAACTCCTTACACGACCAAAAGGAAAACAAACAGTGCTGGTGAGTTAAACCAAATTACTGAAACGTCTCTTGGCTCGTTGATATAGACAAGTATCAAAACATTTTGCGAGATTTCCGAGACACTTCCTTGACATTCCCACGACACTCTATAAGCAGATAAGTATAAAACTGGATGCTAGTGATCTGACCTTTGGGAGGTTGTCCACCATTAGGATTACTATGGAATCCCAGAGTGAGTGAGTGAGTATGGTGTTACGCTGCTTTTAGCAATATTCCAGTAATATCACGGCGCGAGACACCAGAAATGGGCTTTACACATTTTACCCATGGAATCAAAGAACGCAGAAGCCATCACGTCACCGGCTTATGGAACAGAAACCCCTTTCTTCGACGGAGGAGTCGATGCTTTCATTGCTCTAGCCGTTAGTCCCTGAGTGATACCGGGCAACCCCAGCCACACCCACGAGTGCATATCACACGATCAGCTGGAGATGATGAGTGTTTCTGACACTCCAAAACTCAGATTGCTGAACTCTTTGTCGTCCACTTCATTCCTCAGAATGGTCTAAGTGTCTAAAGAGTTATCTCTAGTAGGTGTGTAATTTGTGGTGAGGCGTCCATCATCCACAATCATAAGTACTTTGTTATTTTCCCAAGTGGTAACCGTTGAATGTCTTTCAGATCTTGGATCATCTCCGAGGATCTTTCTCTTGTTCTTGTTAACGTTCACCTTATCCCCTTAAGTTGACACTCTGTCCGAATGTCTGCTGGAATTATCCGTCTCGTGTGGATATGCTAAATACAGCGCAAAGGCCAATTTTGTCCATTGTCATTAACATATATTAACCTAGTTACTTGGATGTCTAAAATGTGTTGCCTGGTTGTGTAGTTGGTCCAAACGTAGTCTCTAAACATGAAACGTATTTACTTGCATGTAAACTGTTAAAGATAGTTAACTTCATAGCTACCTCAGACCTATTCAGCCACACTTCCTTTGTCACCTGACAACAACCTGGATAGCCCAGGCTAAAACATTCCTGATATCCCAATGTACATCTTCGTAAATACGGCATAAAAATAGTCAGATCCCTTATTTTCATCATGAATGCAAAAACCTACATACAAGGTACCCTTCGGACACCTTACCTTGCTGCCAATATGACGTATATTATTATGCCTTTAATCGTTAAGTATTTCACCAGATGAGGGCTGAAGAGTGATGGGGAAAGGTGAGAACGTATTGAGCTTCTGACTCATGTAAATCCAAGGAGTCACGCTGTAATAATGTTCAAATCTCGAATATAACCATGTTTTAATCATAACATATTTTGAAAGGTACACACAAGGTATACATACACATAACATGTAATGGTAATGATAATTATAATTGTTGATTTGACAGCATCGTGCCTGTCCTAATGAACTTTCACAACGTGATAAAAGTGTTCCATATGAAGCTTGAAATACTGTTCAGAGCCATGTTAAGTCAAAGTCATTCACTCACTAGTGAGTATGAATAGAGATGAGACGTGATTGAATCAGCACATTGCATAAAGGCATTCACCACAATGGTTGGGATCACTCGTGGAGAAGCATTTGTTTACTTGTTTGTGTAGTAACCAACATAACATCATCAGTCTGCCGAACGTGTACGGTGTCGTATCATGGTACCAGCGTTCAAAGGACGTGCACTGTCGGTTTGTTCTGACGCTCACCTGTATACGCACGCCGAGAAACACGAAGCCTCGGGACAGGTGTCATGGAGAAAAAGAGAAGAATGCTGACCTGTGTCTTAATGCATATCAATGGGATCTCCCAGTTTATATACATTACTCTTGTCAGCCGTAAGTCCAATCGATGAAAAACCAACTCAGCTGTACACACAAAGGATTTGAGGATTTGAAAACTAGTAAATAGATCTCTGTTTGACATATGCACACCTCAACAGTAACACCCCTCCCATTTTGACATTTATGTCATCCCAACGCCTTTTACAATCTCCATACACATCCACACCTGAATGTCTACCTGTCCGTATTCTTTCCCTTTCCTCATGGTTGTGGGGGAGCGTTTGCTCATCACGCCGAAGACCCGGGTCGATTTCCCACATGGGTACGATGTGTGAAGGCTTTTTCTGGTGTCCCCCGCCGTGATAATGCTGGAAAATTGGTAAAAGCATACTCAACTTCCTCCCGGTCGTACACAAGATATTTACGTATCTCCCTTTCACCTCTAGGACATCCCTCACCCAACGTTTCTCTTACCCCCGACGTACGTATGTGTCACATATACATCTCCCCCTCCCTGTACCCCTCATCCTGTCAGTAGTATTCCCACCCACAGAGGTGTTGACTGATTGATGTACTTCCTGGAAGCCGCGTTACGTTGTGTTGTAATGTACACGTTGTCACGCCATTATTGCCGTCGTTGTAAGCAGCTAAAACCATTCAAAACTACTTCAACAACTGCCGGTCGACTGCATCCCCAGGGGATTGGATGTCGTGACTGCAAACAGTAGAGAAGGTCATTATTTATGAATGTCAGTATAACTGGATAGTCCCTGGCGCACATGCAACCCACTACAGGAAATAGCCTACTGCCCGCACCACCCGCCCGGTAGGTTTGTCCACCATTCTGCAGGTAAGTAAACGACGATTCTATTCAACCATTCACCAAACGATTTGGTGAAGGAGATACACTGACGGTGGCGGACAATGACGTACACATACAGAAAGATTACGACTCTGACTTAGTTGAAACTTACATGAAACTTGGTTGACACTTGGTTAAGATTGAATCATTATTGAACCGACACGGCCATGTTTATCCTTTCAATAACTCCTTGTAGAAAATAGATGATGAGTGTTACAACCCATTACATTATTAAGTGGCCCCATCCGACAATCGGTAGAATATCCTGTTGATTTCTTATATTGATTTGGACAGTAACGTAACGAAGCTGACATTCCTTTGCTAACTACACTAGTGCATGTAAAGCAATCAGCATTATCAGGTATTCGGTTATTAAGCCAGGCTTTAGCCACGTGTGTCTCTCCGTCGTGAATAACCCAGCTTAGCCGTTACAATGAGTCAAATGACTGTCGGGGCGCGATTCAACAGGAAGGCCAGGGGGACTAACAACGAGTAAATACCCGTGATTTATAATCCTTCGAGGAGGTAGAGTGTTGAATTTGCCGAGTTGTATCACCCGCAGCTATTACGGTCGTCAGTCCTGGCAACAGGCAGACGCAGTGTCCCATCGACCTACCAACCTACACTGTACATTCCCTAGCGTCCGCCCGTGCGGGTAGCTGGGCATGGGGACTTGCTGACAGGCGTAATAATGCACGTGTAACACGATCTTCTTCAAGTAGGGTATCTCTGGGACACCATGACAGCAGACAAGAGCGAGGAGCATACATGTGTACTCACACTGTCGTGAGGATCTTCCCTGTCACTGAGATAGATAGTTAGTGAAGTTTACCATGACATTAGTTAAATGTTGCTCGGGCAAGCAGGTCGTTAATCAAGAGTGTCTTGACTCATTGCAGCGGCTTCGCACCCCAGATCACTTACCCATGGATCACAACGCAGCTCAAGCCCGGCATCAGGCTCAGCAGCAGCGACACCGGCGTCACACGACCGTCCACGATGTTCGCAGGGCTTCCATTGACAGTGAAAATCTTCGTCAATATAGCAAGCGGAGGTTTGAGTTCGCCATTAAGAACCTTTCCAATTCTGATGCAGCTGTGAACATATTCCGTATTAACGACGTGCCTCGCCCAAACACAACCCCGCACCTGCCCACCCAGACATGCTCCAGCTCTCTGAGGACGGGTCCAACCCAATATGGCAGCGTGTTGTACAACAGGAAGCCGCTGATGCTGAGTTCCATCCGGGTTCGACCCCAGTCAGAAGACGGGAAGTACTCTCACACAAGAGGAAGGACCAACCCTGGTATAGAGAGAGCCTTACACCAAAGCAACAGTGACTACATTGTGAAGGGCACACCAGATACTCGCGGTCAGACATCATGGCCTCATAGCAAGACATCTCGGCAGCCCAGCTCGGATCTCTTCCTGATCCCTAATGGTGGTGTTCGAGAATTCCTTCCAGACTATGGTGATAATAGGCTCCAAGAAAACACCCTCGATGGCAGCACGTGTATCTCTTCCCGACCCGAGATGTGTTTCATGACGTCTCTGGCAGCGCGGAGAGATGGTTACATGGCAGACAACATCTCAGAAACATCTAGCGGTTCACGACATCGTCAACAGCGATCGACTTCGATGACAAGTCCGCTTCCATCACAATGGTAAGTTAAAAGTTAATTCATCGTATTGGTAAACCGAAGAATCAGTTTAACTTTAAAGCATTATTTTTTAAGAATGAAATGTCATATTTTGGCGAAACCAGTGGAAATGGACAGAGTTGTACAGAGTTATGTACCTTTGCTGCAGGTTCATGTAACTGTGTGGTCGACCCTTAGGTTTCATCGTCACTTATGTCCTTTTCGTCTCTGAAAGCTGACTTGCCGGGGTATAGCCAAAATAATATGTACATAAGCGTTTAATATAACTATATCATATGTAGTAATTTAAGAGACGCCAGAACGTGTACAGGTATAGTTGGTTGGTTTAATCGAGTCTGATTCAGACAATCCAGTGATCAACATCATGAGCATCGTTCTACGCAATTGCGATACGATGAAAAGTGTCAACCAAGTCAACGAGCCTGACCGCCCGATCCCGTTAGTCGCCTCTTACGACAAGCATGGGTTACTGAAGATTAATTCAATCCCAGATCGCCACGTGTAGTATCAGTTATAGACACAGTTTGGTGCACTTGTGTGGTCAGAGCACAAGGGTACGAAAAACGTCCCCACAAATCTATTTTGGTCGTTATAGGAACGGGTTGTCATCTTCAGTGTTTTGATTGCGTGTCATCATGCCCCTTGGCGTTGATCGATAGTCATGTTATCAATCACTGGACTGATTGGTCCAGGTTCGTCATATAATTGATTTTTTCTGAGCGCGACCTTAAACAGAAATATGCGAACAAATTTCGATAAGATAAGCCAGCAAAATGTCACAGTTATAATTTTGAATAACCAATGGCAGTACGGGGCCTGCCCTCAAAGCAAAAATAAAATTATTTGAAAAATGTAATGTTTTAGATCATTATTGTTACTCCATGCTATCTGCATGTCATCATCGCATTCCTGTTTCAATGTGTAATTCCTATTGCAATGTGTAACCCTGGAGACGCACTTGCATTTTCATACTAGTATATTCCCCTTTATTCAGCAGAAATGTTCCCTAACCTAAATATTCGGACTCTGTGTTTAGTGATCTCCATTCATTGCACGCGGTGTCGATTCTAGTAGAGACGTCTACATATAGATATCACAATGATATCTTATATGCATTTCACAGTGAACTGTCTTTTCCTGAATTACAGGGTTTCACAATATATGTGTTGTTTGTGCTAAATGGGGCCTTTGTATAGAGTGGACATCAGAACAGCTCTCACAAGCACCTGTCAATAAAACAACTAACTCCCTATAGGCAAGGTATTGTCCCGACAAAGACACGCTTGGACCCCTCTCAGACACTGCCGTACACAATAAACCGCGTAGCCTGAACAGAATAAGCAATTGACTCCATTATCATATGTCTGTAAACTGATAAAAGGCAGAATAAATGATTTCGGCACTGAACAAAAGCTTTGAACATTTGCCAGGACGATAAGATAAGCTTTTTATTCAAAATGGAATACGATATCATAATAGTTGTTATAGGACCCCATTACCTTCTATGTGCATGTCTCGACGTTCGATACGAGAAACACGGACAGGGTTAGGAACATGGGAAATGGCTTATTTCAAAATAGAAACATTCTGATTCAGTATTTCACTCCCTTTTCACTCCAGCGATCATCCCACTATAGACGCACACACCCAACACGCTGTATACGTACAGGCGCTTTTAGCAATACACAATATCACACACCATCATTGTCTACCCTTCGGCGTACCCATTTCGGCTTGTCAGCTAAGAGTCCTCCAATTCATATACAGCTATTTGAACCGGCTGATGGTTTACTGTTTCCAGTGTATCAAACTGCTGACACATACACGTACAAATAATTCAGGTGCATTTCTTGCAATTTGAACAGTTTGAATGTTGATATCTCCAATTGACAAACGGTGATTATTGTACAACCTAATTGTATCTTAGATCATATTACCGTGGTACTTAAGCACGGCAGGGCGATTAACAGTAATTCAGTTTCTTGATATGTAGTAGGTAACTGCTAAATCCTTTAAGCTAGGATTACTCTGGACCGATTAGTGTGGGGCAATCCGTTAGTGGGTTCTAATCTGATTGTTGTATGCAAGGACTGGCAAGCGGACAATGTTCAGCATGGAGGGGATTACATCTGCGTGTCAAAGCGCGTCGGTCACGTTATATATTGCCCTGTTACTACTAGCATTGATGTAGAATTATATTTGAAGAAGGTTGTATAGTGACTTCCTCACTGTTAGCTGTTGTTAGTTGACTTCCAAGGACAGAAAAGTGGTCAGGAGGTTTCCACAGGGGCCGTTGTTGTCAGGTTTTCACAGAGGTAGTTGTTGTCAGGTTTCCACACAGGTAGGTGTTGTCAGGAGGTTTCCACAGGAGCCGTTGTTGTCAGGTTTTCACAGAGGTAGTTGTCAGGGTTTTTCACAGAGGTAGTTGTTGTCAGGTTTTCACAGAGGTAGTTGTCAGGGTTTTTCACAGAGGTAGTTGTTGTCAAGGGGTTTTCACAGAAGTAGTTGTTGTCAGGAGGTTTCCACAGAGGTGGTTGTTGTCAGGTTTGCACAGAGGTAGGTGTTGTCAAGGGGTTTCACGGAAGTAGTTGTTGTCAGGGGTTTCACAGAGGTAGTTGTTGTCAGGAGGTTTTCACAGAGGTAGTTGTTGTCAGGTTTTCACAGAGGTAGTTGTCAGGGTTTTTCACAGAGGTAGTTGTTACCAAGGGGTTTTCACACAAGTAGTTGTTGTCAGGAGGTTTCCACAGAGGTGGTTGTTGTCAGGTTTTCACAGAGGTAGTTGTTGTCAGGTTTTCACAGAGGTGGTTGTTGTCAAGGGGTTTCACGGAAGTAGTTGTTGTCAGGGGTTTTCACAGAGGTAGTTGTCGTCTGGAGGTTTTCACAGAGGTTGTTGTCGTCAGGTTTTCACAGAGGTAGTTGTTGTCAGGATGTTTCCACAGAGACCGTTGTTGTAAGGAGGTTTCCACAAAGGTAGTGGTTGTCAGGTTTCCACAGAGGTAGTTGTCAGGTTTTCACAGAGGTAGTTGTTGTCAGGAGGTTTCCACAGAGACAGTTGTTATCAGGAGGTTTCCACAGAAGTACTTGTTGTCAGGTGGTTTTCACAGAGGCAGTTGTTGTCAGGGAGTTTACACAGAGGCAGTTGTTTTTTCAGGAGGTTTCCACAGAGGCAGTTGTTTTCAGCGGGTTTCCACAGAGGCAGTTGTTGTCAGGAGGTTTCCACAGGATGTTTTGATTATGTTTGATGGTGTTTGTTTTGGTTTGGTTTGTGTTTGATAATGTACGTTTGAATTTGTTTTGCTTATTAAAGAATATGTGGCAGTCTTTGTGTTCAGTAAACTTTGTTGTTTAAACACTGAAATCCAGTAAGACTGTATTTACCCTTGGTAAAGATGGGACTAATGGGATCGGGAAATCAGTCGAAATGACTTGTTTGATTCATGTGATCGTGTCACAATTTCATAGAGCGATGTTCATGATGTCAATCACTAGATAGTATGATCTAGACTCGATGAACTACAGACCGCCACCAGAAAGCTGGAATACTGTTGATTGCGGCTTCAAACAAACAAACAAACAAACATTTCTCTGGATCCTGGCGGAAACCAAGCTGAAACAACACTGTGACCGCGATAAGACCAGGTGTATCGATCCGTCTAATATATTGAGCGTCTTACCCCGATCGATGCCCGCTGTGCATGTAACAGGGTTTCAGGTATTATGTGGCCAACACCAGGGCATTCATGGGACACCGGAACTGTCTGAGTGCTCCGTATTTGCTAAAAGAGTATCATTGTAGCTGATAGAATTCAAGCCATTCGTTAACACCCCCTGTCCCCGAGCCCACAACACAAACTGTTTATGAGCTCCGCTTGGTTACGAACCGATGTAAGATCTCCCTCGAACGCCGAGTGCTGCCTCAAATCATAAGTCCATGTTGTAAAGGCTAGGCAAACAAGTCAAGACTATAATGGCCTTTATCGAATCCATTATCATTAATGTGGATGTGTAATACGATCTGGAGTCTTAGCTACCTTGGAGGACTTTGTTCCAGTGCCTCTGTGATCAACTCGTGTCAGTAATGTCAGGCGAGTGTACAATGAGTTGTGATCTACTTACGTCAGGGGAAAGTTCACATAGCTAGTTGTGATCTATGATCAACCTATGGCAGTTGCGAATACATATAGCTGTCTATGACCTGTGGTTCAACCTCTGTCACGTACCCGTATATGTGTGCACACAGACATCATTGATATGTGAACTGTGCGACACTGCTGTTACTGATCTGTGTTTAACTCATGTCAGTACCCGCTTTAGGAACTCAGTAAAATACCACGTACCACTACTCTGTAAATAACACTATCCGTTCAATCAACGCATTTCAGTAAAATGTGCACCCGAGATATTGGTAATTACCGAAAGCAACAAACACACTAAAGAAGTAAGCGAAATATGATTAATGGAAATACAGAACAAACTTAATCCATACTATGAGCATAACCCTGAAATGAGTCATCCTATTTTACGGTCCTGTGACGATTAATCAAGGCTAAACAGACATTTATTGTGTTTCCATGTGGGAATCGAACCAGTTTTACGAACACATGCATGAACCATTTGACTACCTCATTTGCCATTTGTCTTGTATACACGTACGTAACAACTTTGTTGGTAATGACATTTAGGGTATATTTATTCAAAACATTTATGTCTTGTTACGTAATTTTGATTAGTTAAGCTTTTACAGTATTTTCTTCAAAATAACGTTTTCTCTGCAGTCGCTGGGCAACACCCAACGTCGGTAACGTGGGGCGACAGGGCGACTCCATGCACAGGGTGAACATCGGTAGGCTTGGCAGGCCATTGACGGGGAAATGGAGGACCGGAAGTGACTGTTCTTCGTCCGGGTCACTGTCTTCAGATGACACCTCCATGTCAGAACGACCGAAGTGTTGGGTTGATGACGTCACAATATCAAGTGATGCATCGCAGCACTCGCAGGAAGACGTGGAGCCTGTTGCTTCAACTGATAACAAGTCAAATACGCAAAGATTGCCCGCTACCCCGACAGAAGCTACCAAAACAGGTCCCCAGAAGGGTCTGTCTTCTCAAATTGAAGGCTCAAAAATTAATCGACAAAAGTCGTCTCCTAATCTCATAGAGGGCCCAAAGAACACACAGAAGGTGACTTCTAACTTAGTTGATGGAGCCAAGCTGAAACGATATGGCTCTGGATTTATCAATGTGAATGAACAAGTAGGTTCTGAAACTGTGAACCAAGGGCCAGGTGAGTTGGATGGCGATGTTGAGGACGCAGAGAAAGACATCAGCGACTTTAAGGACGTTCCTGAGAATGTGTTTCCTACTTTTGTATGTCCGAGCAGTGAGAAGAAGTCCAGACAAACAGCGCTTAAATACTGGCTCGCCAACACCTGCTTCTCTTGTGCAGACAGACGTGTACCGCTTGTGTGAATCTCTGTCGTCATGGAACATATCAATGCTGACTTCTTGTACGCGACATACAAAGTAACAAAGAAACAAATATTTGTACAGCTAAGTGTCATTTTAGTGTGGTTAGATTATAGCGAGGAGGGGGTTAAGTGTTTTTAATTACAGTACGGACTGGGGTGTGTCTGTGGATACGCGTTTTGGTTGGAGTGTTTCTGAAGATAGAGTTTAGGGTTTGGAAATATTTCTAAAGATTGAGAATGGAGAGGAAGTGTTCTTATAGATAATGAGTAGAGGTGAAGTATTTCTAATGGTAGGACCTATGAGGTATTCAAGTGGATAGGGAGAAGAGGAAAAATATTTTAGAAGATAGGGAGTAAGGATGAAATGTTCCTGTAGATAAGTAGTAGTGGCGGCGGAAATAGGACAGAAGACAGGGAGTATAAGGTGTTAGGTGCTTCTGTGGATATTTACTCCGGTGAAATGTTTCTGAGGCCTAGTGGTAGGGGGGGGAAATTGTTTTAGGTTTACAAGAATTTTCAGGAGAAGGGTGAAGAGTTTCTGAGTACAGGCATCGGAGATGGTTTCTAGTGAAAGGATGGATAAGAGACTGGGGTTGATGATCAGATTTATCTATATAGGTGATGTAGGTAATATGCAGGAATGTGTGAGAGAGTAATGAATTTGGAAAGTAGATGCTCTGATCTATACACATTGTTCTGGGAACAAGGAGAATTGAAGACACAGATGTGTAAACAATCCACTCTCCATTTTCCAATCAACCTGGAAGGTTGCATGAATACAGAAGTAGCTTTTTTACACCTTCGCTTAGATACGATTGGATTGACGCTGCCCTGTACTGTATGGCTGGGACTGCGTTGCGTATTTGCGGTCAGGGTCGACCTAATCAGGGTCGACCTAATTAGGGTCGACCTCATCCGTCTCTACCTAATCGAGCCTAATAAACATTCATTGTCATTCTATACGGTCCTCTGAATACACGACAATCGATTGTTAATAAATATTTATTGCATAACAGTTTTGTTTGTCGAAGAGATGATTGTGCAAGTGGTTTGATATGTATAATTGTTTCTGTGCCTCAACAACAGGAAGCCGGTCATGCTGTTAGAGGCCAGAGAGTCATACTTCACTTCCGCAACTCATGTTCAATTTTCATGGAACCAGTGGTCAACGAAGGGTACACCGTAAAACTATTTATACATGGAATTGCTGAAAGACGACAATCACCGCACACGTACACAGTGTTAGAAATAGATTCAAACTGTCACTAACCAGTGGGCCTAATGGCCTAAATATGTCACTAGCCCTTCAGACATCTTACTGGCCCAAATAATTCATGATAATTTATAGACAATAAAACAGCGCATATGAGAATATTGAGAGTATTCATTTCACAAAATAATTGTTTCAGACTTTCAACTCTGAGCCTCTGACATTGATGGGACACACTCTAAGAATACCCATATATTTTCAAATTATCTTCACATTAAAATATCTTACGGACTTCAGTCATCCAGTCATTCCCAACGAAACTGCACAATTCAGAGAGAATAGTGAAGGAAAACAAAATCACTTCAGTCCCCCCAAAAATGTATATATTTTCCAAAACATCAAATTGTAAATGAACAGTCTGTACTTTTTCAGCACTCAGTGAACATTTTTAAACTTGCAGCACTAGTTTGAAGTAAGGTACCCGTAAGCGCCCAAGTAATTTACCTTCATGGGTAACTAGTAGTATCAACATGAACCGTGAGAAAATGAACTCTTTTGTTCTTGGTTTGATTCAAACATCGAATAAATTAATACATCTGAAAGACGTAACGAATGTGTACTCAGTAAAGCGTATTTCACACTGTTGACGCCACAGTCCCAAAACATTCAAAGTAAATTTAAACTCTCGACTTTTTTAACCGTAGCATATGTGTATTTTAATGTATGGCTAATTACATCTAAGTTGCTAACAGCTATATGGATGGTGTAAATCCAGCTAGGGTCCATGCTGGAAGCAAATGTACTGTAAGTTCCCATGGTCCCTAGTATGGTGATCTACCTTCAGCTGCTGGTAAAACTATAGCCAGCTTTTATATTGTATTGTACTATATAGTATATGATTTTAAGTTCAATGCTAGTTTGAAATCTCTAACTGTGATATGCTAGTTGTTTTACTGTCCTTTGGCGACAGATTTTATACCATAACATTATATTAAAGTAGTTATATTTGAACTTCTACTACTACTTTTACTACTGCTAATACTACTACTTCTACTACTTCTACTACTACTACTACTACTACTACAACTACTACTACTACTACTACTACTACTACTACTACTTCTACCACCACCACCACCATTATCATTCTTAATATAAAAACAAAAGGTTGCGATATTTAATCTTTTTTATTGACTTCAACGACTTGAGCATCTTGTAAATATATGTACAACTGACAACAGCACTGAACAAACAAGAATTGGTAAATGGAACAAACAAGCACAAAAATGTAACAAACAACATCAGTATAGTGGTAAATGTGCTCACAAGGTTGCTGTATAAACAGGACACAAGGTGCACACACATAAATATATGCATATCATGTTTTCGTTAGACCCTCTCTGAGTGTCTCCATATGAACTCAAGCTATATATGCACAACATGCGAGCAATATTTCACAAGGAATATACATGTGTCATAAACACAGACAAGGGCCGTTAAAACTCGGACCCGAGGGATACAGCTAAGGGAGTCATTCCTTTTGGACACTTATCAACGGAAAACATTATGTGAAACAATCATTAATTTGAATTTCCAAGAAACATTGTATGAACCATGGGAAGCGGGCGTAAAATATGTCTTTATGACGGATGAGAAAACGAGATTTAAAGCACTGTTATTTGTCGGGTATGAAGGATGGCTGTTCTATCTGGGATAAACAGAAAACATTTCTCATTTGATCTTACATTGATTACATATCTGTTCCGAACATTTCGATACATTGTGTTCTAAACGAATCTGAAGTGAGGCGCATTCACACGTTTGATACCACCTGAACAGTTAAATGCAAAATCTCAAGGGTTAAACAGTTACTACTCAAGTTTACACGGTTTCACCTGTTTGGCTATTGGTAGAGTAACTTCACTGGGGTTTATAACAATAGATAAGAATTGTCATCAAATAAACACACAATATATATAAGAGGTCACAGTCCAGTTTAGCTATTTACAGAGACCACTGCAAGTTTAAGTGGATCGCCTGTAAGCGTGGAGTAAGTCTCGGATAACCCACATGTTGATAACCAAGGTATACAACTACCGTACAAAAAACAAAATTACGGCATAATAAGGATGACTGGAGATTATCCTTCCTTACGCAGCCTAATTATAGTAATGGATAATATAAACATAGCAGTTTTAGGGCCATAAGTACTGTTCCCTCTAGTGAACACTATAAAATACAAATTTTTAAATTAACTTTTACATATTCTTGTTCTAAAAGCTTTCCAAGGATTGGACGTATGCAAGTACAGCTTCTGAGTTGATTTGAGCTTTAAGTCACATCGGCACTTCCATTCCAATTTGCTCATGAAGTCATGACAAAATCAAATCATTAACACATCAAATGGAAGAATGAAGACAAACAGCCACATGCTCAACGTTAGTGGACATACGTATCTCTACTCTAATGTCACTAAGTTGTTCTTGCATGTCTTTCCACATCCTCTGAATATTCTTGATTCTTCTTATAGCATGAACTGAATATTCTTGCACATCTGCCCACATAAACAAAAATATTCAGGCATATCATTCCATATGAACTAAATATCAACATAATTATCGTTAGACGCCTGAATATTCTTGCTTTTCTTATAACATCAACTGAATATGCTTGCACATCTTCCCGTAAAAACTAAATAATCATTCAGATCTTCTACATATTTCGATATCGCCTGAACATCAACTGAACGTTCTTGCATGTCTTTCAACATAAGCTGAATATCTTTAATAAACCAACTGATTCTCAGTCTTCCCCAATCAAATATCTTAAGTATTACTATTATTATTAATTATTGATATGAAATGTACAGGTCAACACGTGGTTGCTTTCCTTGAGCGATATGGTTGGATTTGTTCAGAATATCGATTCGTCATAGTGTCTTGATTGTTGACACAAAAGACAAGCGGATAACATAGTGTTCACACTTTAAATAATTTCTGTATCACATATCTTTATAAAAAAATACACAAAAACGTGACATATTTTTCCAAGGTGTATATAACGAGTCCCTTCCATACCTAATAGAGGATAAACTACAAAGCCTTCATGTTGTGCGATCTTCACCATGAGGTCCATACAAAGACTTATTATACGCAATGTTATGTACATGTAAATACTAATAACACAACACAGAATGTAAACATATACTCACAATACAACACAGAGTGTACATCGAGGTACGTGAATAGCTCACAGCCATGTTTGCACAGAAATGTGGGAACTAAAGATATAAAGTTGGTTGGTAGGTTTACCTTGGCAAGTAGAATTGTAGTTTACGCTCTTTCCTTCTTGTAAACCATAACATGTTGGTCATGACATTTATCGACTCAATATTTAAAATGCTTAAACACACTGCTCCAGACCAACATTAAACGTCATATAAAATAGTTTAATACAACTGGTATCGGAACACGCGTGTAAAGTAGTCACATTCAACCAACCAAAATCACATGATCACCAAACTGCTTCTTACTTGTGTTTTCACCCATAGAAGATTGAGATTCATGTTGTCATTTTGGTATACGTGTAAGTAGACTGTTGATAGTACGGATTATAGACGATGTTGAGATGATTTCCATAACACTCAGGTTGTATGTATCAATAAATAAGTTTAACACAAAAAAGGATAAACTCGAAAATAGATAGAAACTGGATGTGGGAATATTTATAATTTAATAACTTACAACGCATCTAATAAGAGTGTTGGTAACATATTAATACCGGACGTTCATTTCGTCCCACACATACATGGCATATTCAATGCCATGCTGTCAGAGCATGCAAGACAAAGAGTTCATGGAAGCAATATTTCTGCTGATATGTCTTGCTCGCTATTGGTGTTATGGCAAAAGAGGACGTACATGCCAGTTCCAAGAGAATGTGAAGCCGATGTGTTAGTGACGTCTTGCGTTCAGTGTCTTGTCCTCCCCAACGGCTCCAATCTGTTGGACATAGACGTTGAGCATGGTACTGGTGTTTGTCCGATGCTGGATAGGCTCATGGACGTCGACACTGAGATTCATGCTGTGACCTGGTACGCTAATTGTTCTTGTTTACGTGGAGGCTGCGATTCAGGTTGTCACGTGGTCTGTCTGATTTTCACCTGAACGATCACACATAGATTCGTGTTAACCGTGGCCTGTTGGATGTGCGAGTGGTGGCTTTGTTTCAGCTTGTCCAGTGCTGTGCCAAAGATGAGTATCGGCGCAGATATACGTTTGTGCTACTTCAGTGGTTTGCCATACGGTGAAGTTTGTTGGAACCAAGGGCTTGACGTAACAATCTGTACTGGTATGCTTTTCCGTCGCTCTCCTCCAGGTCTTCGCTGTCCTCGACGTTGAAACCCTTCCCTGAGTGTCTGTATGAATTGTAACGACAGGACGATCTGCAACACTCCAACCACCACCAGAATAATAACTGCCAAAACCGCTCCAACTAGATGTGGGGTTACAACTGACAATGTGGATGATGGAATGGATGTCGAACTCTGAGATCTCTCGTTAGTTTCACTCGTTGCATCAACATCCGGAGAGACAGATGCTGATGAAAAATCAGGTGCAGTTGACTTTAAACCCAACGATGGAGCAGCTGTAGACGATGCTAGATCCGATGAAGAAGCGGGTGTAGCAGAGATTGTATCCGATGATGAAACAGGTGTAGTCGATGTTTGATCGGACGACAAAGTAAGTGTTGTTGACGCTATGCCGGGTAATGAAGCAAATGTAGTTGACGTTACATATGACGAAAAAGCAGATGTAGGTGATCCTGGATCCGATGTAATTGTATCTGACATGGAGGTTTCTATTACAGATGTCGTATCTGACGTGGAGATTTCTATTACAGATGTTGTATCTGACGTAGCGATATCTGTTAGCGATGTTGTATCTGACGTGGAGGCCTCTGTTACTGAAGTTGGGTTTGTAGTATACGTTTCTGTTTCTGTATACGTATCTGACGCTGACGTCTCTAAAACAAATGCTGAATTTGACGTGGAGGTCTCTGTTATCGATGTTGTCTCTAACGTGGTAGTCTTTGTTGCAAATGTATCTGACGTGGACGTCTCTGTAACTGCGGTTGTATCTGACGTGGATGCTCCTCTAACCGATGTTGTATCTGGTGTGGAGGTATTTGTTACCAATGTTGTATCTGACGTGGATGTCTCTGTTACCGATGTTGTCTCTAACGTGGAAGTCTCTGTTGCAGATGTATATGACGTTAACGTTTCTGTTACCGATGTTATATCTGACGTTGACGTTTCTGTTACTGATGTTATATCTGACGTGGAAGTGTCTGTTATTGATGTTGCATCTGACGTGGATGTCTCTGTTACCGATGTTGTCTCTAACTTGGAAGTCTCTGTTGCAGATGTATACGACGTTAACGTTTCTGTTACTGATGTTATATCTGACGTTGACGTTTCTGTTACTGATGTTATATCTGACGTGGAAGTGTCTGTTATTGATGTTGCATCTGACGTGGATGTCTCTGTTACCGATGTTGTCTCTAACGTGGAAGTCTCTGTTGCAGATGTATATGACGTTAACGTTTCTGTTACTGATCTTATATCTGACGTTGACGTTTCTGTTACTGATGTTGTATCTGACGTGGAAGCGTCTGTTATTGATGTTGTATCTGACGTGGATGTCTCTGCTTCCGATGTTGTCTCTAACGTGGAAGTGTCAGTTGCAGATGTATCTGACGTGAACATCTCTGTTACTGATGTTGTATCTGACGTGGAAGTCTCTGTTGCCGATGTCGTATCTGACGTAGAGGTCTCTGTTACTGAAGTTGCATCTGACGTGGAAGTCTCTGTTACCGATGTTGTATCTGATGTGGACGTCTCTGTTATCGATGTCGTATCTGACGTAGAGGTCTCTTTTACTGAAGTTGCATTTGACGTGGAGGTCTCTGTTATCGATGTTGTATCTGTCGTGGATGTCTCTGTTACCGATGTTGTCTCTAACGTGGAAGTGTCAGTTACAGATGTATCTGACGTGGACATCTCTGTTACTGATGTTGTCTTTAACGTGGAAATGTCTGTTCCAGATGTATCTGTATCTGACGTGGACAGCACTGATGCCCATGTCGTATCTGACGTAGAGGTCTCTGTTACTGATGTTGCATCTGACGTGGATGTCTCTGTTACTGAAGTTGTCTTTAACGTGGAAATGTCTGTTCCAGATGTATCTGACGTGGACGCCTCTCTTGCCGATGTCGTATCTGACGTAGAGGTCTCTGTTACTGAAGTTGCATCTGACGTAGAGTTCTCTGTTACTGAAGTTGCATCTGACGTAGAGTTCTCTGTTACTGAAGTTGCATCTGACGTAGAGGTCTCTGTTACTGATGCTGCATCTGACGTTGACGCCTTTGTTTCTGGTGTATATGATGTGGAAGATTTGGATGTCTCTGTTATCGATGTTGTATCTGACGTTGAGGTCTCTATTACTGATGTTCCATCTGACGTGGACGCCTCTGTTTCTGATGTGTCTGATGTGGATGTCTCTGTTACTGACATTGTATCTGACGTGGAGGTCACTGTTACCGATGTTGTATCTGACGTGGATGTCTCTGTTACTGAAGTTGCATCTGACGCTGTGGTCTCTGTTACTGTTGTATGTGACGTAGAGGTCTCTGCTACTGATGTTGCATCTGACATTGAGGTGTCTGTTACTGTTGTATCTGATGTAGAGGTCTCTGTATCTGATGTAGAGGTCTCTGTTACTGATGTTGCATCTGTTACTGATGTCGCGGTGGTCTCTGTTTCTGATGTTGCATCTGACGTTGAGGCCTCTGTTACAGATGTATCTGATGTGGTCATCTCTGTTACTGATGTATCTGACGTGAAGGTCTGAGCTACCGATGTTGTACCTGACGTGGAAATCTCTCTTCCTGAAGTGGTATCTGGCGTGGAGGTCTCTGTTATTGATGTTCTATCTGACGTGGACTTCTCTGTTATCGATATTGTCTCTAACATGGAAGTGCCAGTTCCAGATGTATCTGACGTGGCCTCTGTTACTGATGTTGTGTCTGATGTGGAGGTATATGTTAGTGATGTTGTATCTGACGTGGAGGTCTCTATTGCAGATGTATCTGGTGTGGAGGTGTCTGTTACCGATGTTGCCTCTAATGTGGAAGTGTCAGTTGCAGATGTATCAGACGTGGACATCTCTGTTATTGATGCTGTATCCGACGCGGACGTCTGTGTTACTGATGTTGTCTCTATCGTGGTGGTCTCTGTTAGTGATGTTGTATCTGACTTTGACGTATCTGTTACTGATGTTGAATCTGACGTGGAGGCCTCTGTTTCTGATGTATCTGATGTGGATGTCTCTGTTACTGATGTTGTATCTGACGTGGACGTCTCTGTTACCGATGTAGTATCTGATGTGGACGTCTCTGTTACTGATGTTGTATCTGACGTGGAGGTCTCTGTTACTGACGTTGTATCTGACGTGGACGTCTCTGTTACCGATGTTGTATCTGACGTGGACGTCTGAATTACTGATGTTGTATCTGACGTTGAGGTCTCTGTTACCGATGTTGTCTCTAGGGTGGAAGTCTCTGTTACTGACGTTGTATCTGACGTGGAGATCTCTGTTATCGATATTGCATCTGACGTGGAGCCCTCTGTTACTGACGTTGTGTCTAACGTGGACGTCTTTGTTACTGATGTTGTATCTGACGTGGAAGTCTCTGTTACCGATGTTGTCTCTAGGGTGAAAGTCTCTGTTACTGATGTTGTATCTGACGTGGAGCCCTCTGTTACTGTTGTTGTATCTGGCGTGGAGGTCTCTGTTACTGATGCTGCATCTGACGTGGACGCCTCTGTTTCTGATGTATATGATGTGGAAGACTCTGTTACTGACGTTGTATCTGACGTGGACGTCTCTGTTATCGATGTTGTATCTGACGTTGAGGTCTCTTTTACTGATGTTGCATCTGACGCGGACGCCTCTGTTTCTGATGTGTCTGATGTGGATGTCTCTGTTACTGATGTTGTATCTGACCTGGATGTCACTGTTACCGATGTTGTATCTGACGTGAATGTCTCTGTTACTGAAGTTGCATCTGACGCTGTGGTCTCTATTACTGATGTTGCATCTGACATTGAGGTGTCTGTTACTGTTGTATCTGACGTAGAGGTCTCTGTTACTGATGTTGCATATGACATTGAGGTGTCTGTTACTGTTGTATCTGACATAGAGGTCTCTGTTACTGATGTTGCATCTGACGCGGTGGTCTCTGTTTCTGATGTTGCATCTGACGTTGAGGCCTCTGTTACAGATGTATCTGATGTGGTCATCTCTGTTACTGATGTTGTATCTGACGTGAAGGTCTGAGCTACCGATGTTGTATCTGACGTGGAAATCTCTCTTCCTGAAGTGGTGTCTGGCGTGGAGGTCTCTGTTATTGATGTTCTATCTGACGTGGACTTCTCTGTTATCGATATTGTCTCTAACATGGAAGTGCCAGTTCCAGATGTATCTGACGTGGCCTCTGTTACTGATGTTGTGTCTGATGTGGTGGTATCTGTTAGTGATGTTGTATCTGACGTGGAGGTCTCTATTGCAGATGTATCTGGTGTGGAGGTGTCTGTTACCGATGTTGCCTCTAATGTGGAAGTGTCAGTTGCAGATGTATCAGACGTGGGCATCTCTGTTATTGATGCTGTATCCGACGCGGACGTCTGTGTTACTGATGTTGTCTCTATCGTAGTGGTCTCTGTTAGTGATGTTGTATCTGACTTTGACGTCTCTGTTACTGATGTTGAATCTGACGTGGAGGTCTCTGTTTCTGATGTATCTGATGTGGATGTCTCTGTTACTGACATTGTATCTGACGTGGAGGTCTCTGTTACTGATGTTGTCTCTAGGGTGGATATCTCTGTTACTGACGTTGTATCTGACGTGGAGATCTCTGTTATCGATGTTGCATCTGACGAGGAGGCCTCTGTTACTGACCTTGTATCTGACGTGGACGTCTGTGTTACTGATGTTGAATCTGACGTGAACGCCTCTGTTTCTGATGTATCTGATGTGGATGTCTCTGTTATCGATGTTGTATCTGACGTGGAGCCCTCTGTTACTGATGTTGTATCTGACGTGGACGTCTCTGTTACCGAAGTTGTATCTGACGTGGACGTCTCTGTTACTGATGTTGTACCTGACGTGGAGGTCTCTGTTACCGATGTTGTCTCTAGGGTGGAAGTCTCTGTTACTGATGTTGAATCTGATGTGGAGATCTCTGTTACCGATGCTGTATCTGACGTGGATGTGTCTGTTACTGACGTTGTATCTGACGTGGACGTCTCTGTTACCGATGTTGTCTTTAGGATGGAAGTCTCTGTTACTGATGTTGTATCTGACGTGGAGATCTCTGTTATCGATGTTGTATCTGACGAGGAGGCCTCTGTTACTGACCTTGTATCTGACGTGGACGTCTGTGTTACTGATGTTGAATCTGACGTGAACGCCACTGTTTCTGATGTATCTGATGTGGATGTCTCTGTTACTGACGTTGTATCTGACGTGGAGGTCTCTGTTACTGATGTTGTCTCTGGGGTGGAAGTCTCTGTTACCGATGTTGTCTCTGGGGTGGAAGTCTCTGTCACTGTCGTTGTATCTGACGTGGAGGTCTCTGTTACCGATGCTGTATCTGACGTTGAGGTCTCTGGTACCGATGTTGTATCTGACGTGGAGGTCTCTGTTACCGATGTTGTATCTGACATTGAAGTATTTGATCCAGACGTTAAACACTTCAAACATTTTTTTCAAAATTCATTAGGTACGATTATGTGTTTAAGGTACAATAAACTCATCATGCATGAATGTATGACACGTCGAAAACGTGGATTGTGGACAATGTAACATAATGTTTCAAATTTTATGTTTGAGCTTGATTTCAATCAAATTGGATTAATTAAAACTTTCGATGACGGTTTTCAGATATGTTGCAATCTGTGGCGGGAAGGCCTGTGATATTGATACCGCTGCGGGTAGTCCGTCATCACACCCCATATGCGTCATGTAATTAGCGATCTAGAGCGAAAATAACAATGTAACAATTATCCAGTGTTTTCAAATATTAAATAACCATGATGCTAGTTCCGGTTGATATATAAAACGACATAATGTTGAGGTTCGACTAAACGAGTGTTTACTGTGTGTTCAAAAGTATACACATTTCCTCCTACGAAACTAATCAGTGTAATAACTAAACCACTAGTCCATCATATACGTACTGATAATAATGACCTAGGTCATCATCATCATCATCATCATCATCATCATCATTATTAGTAGATATGAGGGGCGGAGGGGTAGCCTAGTGGTTAAAGCGATGGCTCGTCACGCCGAAGACCCGGGTTCGATTCCCCACATGGGCACAATGTGTGAAGCCCATTTCTGGTGTCCCCCGCCGTGATATTGCTGGAATATTGCTAAAAGCGGCGTAAATCTAAACTCAGTCAGTCAGTCAGTTAGTAGATATGAAGGCTGCAAGTACTTTACAAACTTTACAATATAATCACTAAAGATACAAACACGAATGTTTTCACAACTTTAGAAAGAAAAGGTAACGTGTATAGTGTTGTAGCACCTGAACGTGGCGTTGATGTAGACGTCGGTGACGTTGTTGTCGCTGATGCAGTGTTGTCGGCGGCTGTAGTTGTGGTTGATGTAGTAGTACTCTGTACAGCACCTGAAACCATGGACATTTGTTTTGAAGCCTTGTAATAGATGCGTGCGGAGTGGAGGGAATGGCGATGGGCGAGGGAACGGTAAGTAAGACTTGTCAAAATGAGAAGAAGTTCTTGAAATGCATTTAGAAGTTGGACGTACATGACACGTTTTTTATGGATAACATAACAATATAATCACGAAGCCAGTTAGATAGGATTAATGTACAAAGGTAACAGTATATTGTAACGACGAGGTCAAGAGTGGGAGCGTGTGTGGGTGTGTGTATGTGTGTTAATGTACAAAAATAAAAACATAATACGAAGCAAATTAGATAGGATTAGTGTTGAAAAATAGCAGTGTAATGATGAAGTCAATGAGATTAACGGTGTAGCAACAATTTCAGGCAAACCGGCTGGAACTTTTTAAACAGTCTCTGTTGGACTTATGAAACAGGATTCCTGCTGACGCCATCCGTCGACAGACACAGTCAATGAGGAGACGAGTGTTGGCGTGTATGGATGCCACGGGTGGTCACACTCGCTATTGACGACGTGTCCCCTGACTCCTGTCTCATTATGTGACTCTTTATGACTTGTTCTTTTTGAATGAACTCTGATTTATCATTTGTAACCACTTGACTCTTTCTTACTGAATTGCGGCAAATGCAAGACCAGTATTACAATGAATTTTCAGTCAAATTATTGGAAAATTATTTCTGTTTGCAAAAATACTAATTATAAATCTCACAAACGTCAAGTAACGTCATTTAACTTTCCTTTGCCTGGTAGTTTACTGCATTGTCTCGAAGGAATTTATATATCTACTATTCACACTTTGCTAAGGATCAAATCATGGATTCAACAGAAAACTATGATATGAGGTCAACATTGGTTTAAATATCTAACCTTATTGTAAGCATGGATCCTACGTTTCAGTATGTAATTTCATCTTGTGGATCCCATACCTGCTATTGACAGGTGTTGTGTACTTGTCAATGACTCGTTCCATGACTTGCAAATGGCTGACTGGTGCCATGAAAACCATTTTTTATCGTTATTCATGTATCAGGTGCATAAGGTTAGATTAAAGTGACTATTTGCCCAAAGAGGGGTTACCATATTAAATTTATCCAGTTTTAAATTATACAATTTCAAATTATGAATCTACGTTTAAGTAAAATTGTGAATGTTTGTGAACCTAGCAAAGTGTGAGTAGTATATAGTTTCCATGGTAAGAGGGACATAGTTACACGGAAAACATGCATCACTAAAATACATGCACAAACCGATAGCACAACCAATCATAGATACGCATAGTCATGCACATAAAAACATGGAACTCTGCAAACAAAACCCAGGTGTTAGACATATATCAACAGAAATTCATTTAGTGAAGATTAGGAACTTTAGAAGGGTGAATTTATAAACTGCCTTGATTAAGAGCACGGATGCTGTTTGGCATAAACGACCAAATACCATGATAGTCATGTCAACTTTGAAAGGCCTTCGTCATCGTAATAAGTAGAACCACGTACATGTTCCTGTCAAGTGTATGATTACATTACCTGTAACTACCTGATCTCTCAAGAAGCACATTTCTGTTTCTGTCACAGACAGAGGAGACGTGGTAGCCTGGAGCATACTGCGATGATGCTACGACACTGAAGTCCAGTTCTAGATGAAAGTGCAGGATTAGATCTACGAGGGGTAACATCCCACCCATTCACTCCCACACTTTAGGGTAAACCCGCAGGTGCTCGAATCGGCTCACCCGTGAAGATCCGGATTAGAATATTGGTCTTCAGTAACCCATGCTTGTGGTAAGAGGCGACTAACGGGATCAGGTGGTCAGGCTCGCTGACTTGTTGACACATGTCATCAGTTCCCAAGTGCGTAGATCGATGCTCCTGCTGTTGATCACTGGGTTGTCTGGTTCAGACTCGATTATTTACAGACCGCCGCCATATAGCTGAAATATTGCTGGGTGTGGCGTAACACTAAACGCACTTACTCGAGTGGGCTGTTCTGTGTGAAGACAATTAAACTTGGACCATATCGAATGTGTAATAAAATGAAATTACGAAGTAGAAGGAAATGCCAACAACTGTAAACTTACTTGTGGTGGCACGGAGGGATACGGGAACGATGTTATCGTCAACTCGGAAGATGAATTTGCCAGCAACACCAACGTTAGACAGTTGAGTTATGTTGATGAGTTCATCAGATTTGGATCCCGGCAGTTGGTGAGACCTCACCTCATCCCCGGCCATGAGCGCGCTCTAAACACAATTAGTGGACATATACAGTTGGACTATGGAAGGTTTATAGTGGGGTGATATATAATCTTCCTTTAGTGGCTGTTTAATACAATCAGAAACGACAAACCATTTAACTGTATTGTCCTTTCGCCATTTGACGTAATAGAGGAAATGTCATGATGTCGGGATGAAGGTTACCGATTGATGATAATATGGCTGCAAGAACACCCAGGACATCGAGCTTTGACACAGCCTAACGTGGAATTTAAATTTCTTATTCCAAACTGCTTGTTCGCATTTCGATGTCAACCATGATGCTTTGAACCTTGGATAAAATTGGTCAACGGTATGGTACCTGTAAGAAGCGACTTAACACATCAGTTTATTCCTTGGGGTGGGACTTTACTAACATTACAAAAATTGTTGTATCTGTTTCATGATGTATATTTACATAAAGTGTGAACAGCTAACTGTGTTGTTCAACAGCTGTAACCCTCCCATACACTCCCCTACCCTCCCCTGCTCCTCCCTCCCTCCCGCCTCATACTGATCAATGCGTCAGTATAGAGGGTCGCCATTATCAAGCACTGTCACGAAGGGAGACAATCATTGTAGCCTGACATATTGAGCCCGAGTCTTCCGCGTTCCGAAGAATGTTTCCAATATGCTTTGCTGCCCAGAACAGCATCTAGTGGACAGTCTTTTGGCACTGCAATTCGATGTGATGAGGAACTTGAAATAGTCGCGCCAGGATGCTCTAGTCATGGGATCAAATCCCCCCAGACAGACCATAATACCACTTGGCAATGAACTCATGCTAATGGACTTAAGCAAACGTATATAAATAACTGATATAACAAGATTCATGCTTAATCTCTACAAATTGTGATGGATACAAATAACTACATTTATATTAACAAGGAAATTCAGAGGAACATCTACGTTTTTTTAATTTGGGGCTCTTGTACAGAAGAGGGTGGGCGGAAGAGAGATTAATATGGTTCTGGTACTGTCAGAGAGAATATTACACAGCTAGTTCTTAGCTTTTTTTCCCATATTAAACTTACAAACGGTGAACGAACTCTCTCCCTCACAAGAAGAGTGATAATAATAACCCATATTTAATATTGGACCGCGGTTCCTACATGGTTATGTAACAACTATGTTATGTTTTAAATCAACACCAGCATACCTGTGTACGGATAGTAGGTTCTGTACCGTAATATGTTGAGGCAATATCAGAATTATCATACACCCATTCCAATCTTTCATAGAATATTATCACAACTGATGCCGCACCATCCGTGGCCATTGTGATCTGGAATGTGTCGACCTAAAGTAACAGAAAAAAGATGCTAAAATACAAGTGATCATTCAGCGGTACTCAGAGATATTATTGGCAACCGGTAACTATTCGATCTGCTACCAGTTATACCGGTACTCAACCATTCCTCAGCAATTCCAGGTCATAAAACTGGCTACAGCGTTTTAATTTATCAAACATCCCCATGGGCCATCCAGCGCTCATTATTGCCGGCCGTTCTCACCCAGCAAATTGTGCATGAAATCTCCGAGTACTGTATGGAAATGAACATTTTCATGGTGAGTGAATGAGTATGGTTTAACGCCGCTTTTAGCAATATTCCAGCAATTTCACGGCAGGGGACACCAGAAATGGGTTTCTCAAATTGCACCCATGCTGGGAATCGAACCCGGGCTTTGGGCGCTAACACTTTAACCACTAGACTACCCAACCGCCCCTTAAATTGTCGCGTACACGGTGAAGTTTTTAAAGTGGACTCAATTTACCGTGCACAGTTGCATCCTCTGGGCATGCCGAAAACGTGTGATTTCTGTTCGATTAATTAATATGTTTCCAGGTTTTCACCGAATAGGTAACAACTTCTTAGAACAAACTCACGCGCAGATCTCTCCTACCAAGCAGAAAAGCACAGGTATGTGATGTAAAGTTTATATCGGCCCTAAAACACGTTCACACTCTTAAACAGCTTGCCTTGTTGTCCATTGTGTTAAATGTAGTGACGTCAGCCCACGTCGCCAGCAGCACCCAGGTTGGGGTATAGTCTGCCGGGAATTCTTGGTATCGCCTTACGTCATCTGCTATAGTTTGTCGTAATGCTAGCGAGGTATTGATGACGTAATAGACGGTTCCACCCCCGGATACATCTATGTCACAGCAAAGAGCGCACACTGCTGGAGTATTTCCGGGGTCACCGATCGTATTCTGAAATGTTTCGGCCTTAAGGAATGTCACAGAGCCATCATTGTTCACCTGCAATTGAAAATTACCGCATTGAAACATCTTTTGTCCTTTGTATTACGCGAGAAGAGTGTTTCTCTTATTCGTGTTTCCGTGATCTTAAAACACAAGAACCAACATTGGAGTAATTAACCTTTTCGCAGCAGAAAGTTCCTTAAATGAAACGACATACAAAAGGGTCTCATGAGAAACAATTGGTGTTTTCATATTACCTCTGATGCGTGGTTTAGCTACAGCTACAACGCTGTATTTGTATCAAGGGGCACCCAGAAATCTGCTGACGGGGGACACATACAGAAAGTGGGTTGACACTTTCTGAGCCAGTGCGAGAAGAGAGAATGCCAGCACAGTCAATTCTGGCAGACCGAATTCTGGCGGAACTCTTTACCGATAACTTTGCTAGTATGCCTAATATAATCTCGATAAGGAACTGTATTTTCTCAATGACAGATGGACACACCACGGACATATCAACACAGACTGCGCTTCCTCGACGATAGATGGACACAACACGAATATATTAACACAGGCTGGACTTTCTCAACGATAGATGGACACAATACGGATACATAAACATAAGATGAACCTTCTCAACGATAGATGGACACAACACGGATGCATTAACACAATCTGGACTTTCTCAACGATAGATGGACACAACACCGACATATTAACACAGGTTCGACCTTCTCACGATAGATGGACACAACACGACTATATAAACACAGGTTGGATTTCCTCAACGATTGATTGGCACAACACGGGTATTTTAACACAGGTTGCACTTTCTCAACGATAGATGGACACAACACGGATACATTAACACAAGCTGGACATTCTCAACGATAGATGACACAACACGGATACATAAACACAAGCTGGACAGTCTCAACGATAGATGGACACAACACGGATAGATTAACACAAGCTGGACCTTCTCAACGATAGATGGACACAACTCGGATACATTAACACAGGCTGGGCCTTCTCAACGATGGATGGACACAGTAGGAATATGTTAACACAGGCTGGACCTTCTCAACGATAGATGGACACAACACGGATACATTAACACAGGCTGGAGTTTCTCAACGATAGATGGACAAAACACGGATACATTAACAGGCTTGACCTTCTCAACGATAGATGGACACAACACGGGCATATTAACACAGGTTGGACCTTCTCAACGATAGATGGACACAACACGGACATATTAACACTGGTTGGACTTCCTCAACAGTTGATGGACACAGCACGGGTATATTAACACAGGTTGGACTTTCTCAACGATAGATGGACACAACACGGATGCATTAACACAGGCTGGACATTCTTAACGATAGATGGACACAAACACGGATACAGTAACACAAGCTGGACCTTCTCAACGATAGATGGACACAACACGAATATATTAACACAGGCTGCACTTTCTCAACGATAGATGGACACAAACACGGATACATTAACACAGGCTGGACCTTCTCAACGATAGATGACACCTCACGGATACATAAACACAAGCTGGACCTTCACAACGATAGATGAACACAACACGGATACATTAACACAAGCTGGACCTTCTCAACGATAGATGGACACAACACGGATATATCAACGCAAGCTGGACCTTCTCAACGATAGATGGACACAACACGGATATATCAACTCTTACTATTATATGTTAAAGAAAAAAAGATATATAAACGATATATGGACACAACACGGATATATCATGTATGTTGCTACACAATATGTTCTTGTAGTTACACTTAAGGATTATTGTAATGCAACCTGAAAATATGTCTTCTAAAGTCCAAAGGACCAAAATCACATACAAGACCAATTACTTATGGAAGCGACAACAACCTCTCAACAACCATAAGGAAATACCCCAAAATGAGAGTTCATTACCATTGAAACATGAAATCACTTCGTAATGTATCAGACCTAGAGTATTGGGTGAGGTGAAATTGGGTTTAACGTCGTGCTTGAGAATATTTCGCTCATATGACGACGTGCATGCGTGTGTATGTGCACTATAGTTTTATAGTGCTAGCCCACTGAGATGCCATGCCGCAGTGAAGCATGAATACCCCACTCAGACACATTATTCTGACTCCGAGCCGACCAGTCCTTGTTGTACCAATTAATGCCGAGCGCCAGACAGGGACCAACAAGTACTATATTTTAACGTCGTTTGGTATGACGCGGTCGGGGACCAAACCCGCGACCTTCCGCTCTCCGGGCGGACGCTCCTAGAGTATTAACCAGCAGTGTTTTTAAGTACTTCCAATAGCAGAAACTAAGCTCCCAAGACCTCCCCCACGCCATTAATCATTTCAAGTAGAGACAGACCACACCTACATCAAGATAACCCCTGCCGACGATGTAACAGTTGTTTGCAACAGGTCTCGTATCCAGGACGTGAGGAACAGTTACTGGAAGACAACAGTTTACATCACTTCACGGACGAACGACCTTGGCCTCTAACAGACACAACATGTCATGTGAATGATGACTGCATTTGAAGTTTCATGGCTTTACAGGTGGCCATGCTTCGGGACCAAATGTCAACAAAATCAGTGTCGACTACTGGAAATTATCAAAATTCATTATAGGATATACAGATTCTTCAGGTAACTCCACACCCACATCGTCAATCTCCTATATGTAATGATTTCATCTAAAATAATTTGTTTATATGGCATATACTGTTTAAACATGATTGGCGTTCTTCTCCATTTTTTCAACATTGATAATTCATTCACAATGTCCATTCATCATGACATATAAGCTTGTGCTTGTTTACCAATCCGGTTCCTTTCACTAGAAATAAATATCTTAAAAGTTTATATATATTCACCAAATCCTTGGTATAGCTAATGTGATGGTAAAATAAAGACACTCGCAGAGAGATATAGTGTGTTGCTCTGCTCTGCTAGCCTTACACGGACAACCACATCTATGTTAAGTATTCGGATACTTTACTACACGTAATACACGCCGATCCCCGTTGTATCACACCCTGCTGCACAGTGAACCACGTCCCGGGGTATGGAGATCTATAATCACTGCCTCGCACACACACAAACTCGTAAATCTCCCAATGACGAGTTTATAAGTTTTGTGGCTTTATACTAGGAGACACTTTGGTGATAGATTCAGTCATGTGGAGTGAAGGAGAAGACTCGGGGTCTTCTGTGGACACAGCATCACTCACTATGTATTCTGCAATGGGTCTAAAAACTTTGATTTGTGAGTCGTTTTACGTCACTCAGACACGCAAACGAAAACCAGACCGTCACACGAGCAGTGTTTTTTTCTTTGAAAACGAAAACAATGAGCCGCGGAGACTTAAGACATGTAAACGACAAGTATAGTACTTCTACTTGAAAGCAGCAGAGCAGCAACGTTCGACCTTGAAATCGATCCCTAGAGCCAACGGTAGCTACTTCAACACTATTAAGAGATTTAATACACCAAACAAAACCTACGTCCTGAGCCTATAAATGGTATGGCCAACCTAGCTAGCCTCGATAGTCTAAAGAAAACGTTATAATCATAGTCTTAACAGTATACAAAGTCAACAATACATGACATTAAAGCCCATGTTTTCTCCTGCAACCTGTATTTCACCGAAACGAAAATATTCCTATACATCAGGCAGTGAGATATGTTGGGAAACGTCTTTTACTGACGTTTTTTTTCTAATATAGTGCATACACATATGTCATCATAGCTTGCAAAAGCCATGCCTGACCAGATATAAATTTCATCATTTCATCAAATCTATCTCCGAAAGATCGATAGATAACAGTCATAAACGAAAGAGCCAAACACATTTCAGGGCAATACCTTTCTGCACTATAAGAAAGCAAAATTGATAAATCCAAAACGTATGCAGATTCAAAAGGGAAATGGCACATCATAATAAAGTATTTAGGGGAGAAAAAAGTTTTCAGATTCTTGTTTATAGCTGTTTTGATAATTCATGTGAATTGCTTACTTTAAGTGCTTGTGATTTGATGTCTCAGGTAAACAAGCACATGTATATGTCGCTTACTGCTATACCTATAACTCGAATGTCGATCTGGTTGGTTCAGCCTTAGTTAACGGTACGAGAGTTGTTTGATAGTTGAGCAGTCAATATATAATTTATTTTTAGTTAGGGTACGCTGCAAATAATGGGACCAACCATTTAACTTGATATAAAAATACCGCTCTAATTGGATAATGGATGATTACTCCAATATCAGTTTGATTAGTTTGTTTCATATTATGTAGCATGTGTTTCTGTTAAGCAATGGTATATACAGCTTGCTTCTAACATCATCTGAGCGAAAGACACTACACTTGACGGATGATATAGCATGGCTGATGCTTAGCAGAAAATATCTAGTGTTAGCGGCAAGGAACTACTAGGCTAGGTGCCATGCAGTTGCAGTTTTATTTAGAAAGCCAGTCTTTATTGAACCCATATAGATTTCCATAAAATTACATAGACAAAAATTACCTTTTACTAACTATTGCAGGAATGATAACCTGCCATTCAGACCCCGAAACAATAATATCTAAGAAAGCCCATGCATCCTATAATATATGGCAAGTCTAAATTTCCACAGTTCTGCAACTGAAGGTTTTTTGCTGTAAAATATGTTCATTTTAGAGACTAGATGTTAGCCTACTGGAATGAGTGATGGTGAAATTGAAGTGATGGTGAAACAGTTCTTTAATGTTTTTACTGCTTAAAACAAATTCAGTATACTTTCTGTTGCCCTCAGTGTGCATATTGCAAATGGGAACTGTCAACTGATGGCGTAATAGTATATAAACGTATTCATAAGGTTTAACAGTGAAAGTCGTTACTCTGTAAATGGGTTGGAAGTTTCTGAAGGAGTTATTCAGTTGGCAAATTACATATAGCTTATGGGAACATTTATTTTACGCCCGTATGCACATCGCGTAATGTGTTTCCTAGCGTTTGATGTATGCTGCAAGATGCAAGGAAGTGTTGCAAAATATCAGCATTTTCAAATGTACTGTCAGTTAAATACGCCAGGTCCTTGAGAATTTTAAATTAAAGTAGACCAGAAAGAACCGTGACATAAATTCCGCAACAGACAACATTTTTGAACCACCATATTCTCTGTTCTGTCAACATATTTCATCGTAGTATGGGTTTTCGGACCCTTATGAACGTCCCGATGTAAACCATGTAACTAACCTAGTAATGAAAACGTTGTCTTAAACACAAACCATCATCCGAGTATTTACAATGTCAAGGTGACGCAACCCATCTCGTTATAGCGAGAAAAAAAACTAAAAAAGTTCGACGTCCGAAAATATACTGAGCGAAACACATAAAGGATCACAGGAAAATTCAAATGTTCCTTTATTGTTTTCCAGTTTTCATCACCACAGCGCTATTCAAAGCTGGTGAGGAAAACTGGAAAATAAAGGAACACTTGAATTTTCCTGCAATCTTTTATTTGTGTCTTTCGGTATACAATGTATATAATCCAACTATTTATGTAATGCTACAGCAGGAAAACCCTAACTGATGTAATATACCTTGTCCCCATAGAGTACTAACATCGATTCAATACAAGCATGAGAGTATGATACTTCTCGGATTTAGATTCTACCATTTACTACTATTTCTTTGACACAGCTAACTGTATCTGCCTCGAACTGTCATTATACTGAAGAAATAGGGACGGGCGGACTATTTTAATTATCAAAATGCTTCAGACTGTTGAGAAAGATATGTAGTCTCCAGACACTACCACAGCACTGACACACCAGTTATCAAATAGTCGGTCCCCAAAGTCCCTCGTTCTGGTCAATGTTATATTTGAATTTGATAATCCATTCTTAAATCATATTAATGGTAGTATATTGTACCATAGGATTTAAAAACAACTATGCAGATGTACTTTGAGAAATATGTTCCGGCATTTCACCTGGAAACTTCACATAGAGTTTAACACACCCTGATTATGTCCCGACCAAACAGCCTGTGTTCATCTCAACACGAGCTACATATGATAGATACTGTCATTGCATCCACATCAAACAGTGTTGATGGGACATGTGTACTCGTTTACAGAAAAAGGCATTCTGTTTTTATTTATCTATGCAATATATATACTGTTAAAAGGTGGTTTATAGGTGATCCCGTGTACATATTAAATAAACCGTTTTAGTCTGGAGCTATGTACTTGAATATGAAGTTTTCGTTATTGAGCTCTTCGCTTATATGCGATGAAATATACAATTCGGACGGTGGTATGTTTTTAACTGAATATAGTTCAGTTGTGCATGATGCTGAATGCTGTTTATTTCAGTGACGCATATCGATGTTGAAGTCCTGAAGCCGCGCCTATATCAGTCATATGGATATGACGACACATACGTCGCCGAGAAGACATTTACAGTGTGTCTCTCTACGTGCGTCTGTGATAGCATCTGAAGACTCTGAACGTTAAGTGTGGTCACCCACAGGGGTCATGATGATAAGGGATAGGTATTGTCCAAACAAAATACTTCATGAATATTATAAATATATGATGAGGCACTGAAAGGTATACGGTCACACTTATCTGACTACAACAACCTTAAGCTTTTAGGAGTCACGTTTTATGCTTTATCAAACTTTACAGTTTACTATTACTTCCACTGAATGTATTAATCGGTTATGCATATCTATCTTGTCACCTTTGACTACCCAAAGGCCACAATATGACTACATATACAGTGAGTATAATTTTGCATGTGGAATATATTTCATGGAATGACATACTGTGCATTCAACAACAAGACTGGTTCAATATTTTTAACAAATTATTCAAAAGATATATATTTACAGTAATGTCATTTTTGCGCGAGGAATACTTCGATTTGAGAACAAATACCAACTGCATACACTAGAACTTTCATAGAAAAGAATAATGCACTTTTAGAAGATGAAATGTCTATCGTTCAGTATAACCATTGTCAAAACAAGGGGTTCACTGAAAAATACTTACATAAGCAGTACTGTAGGCAGTTCCATAAAATGTGAAAGGCGGCTGAAGACTGAGGGAGGGGCTGGAACCGTCATCCGTTTCGGGGGTAGGTGTGTGACCATCGAAGGGAAGCAGCGAACACCTGATTGACCACATGCATGTGGCTAGAAGCAAGACGGACCAGAGGACTTGGCGACAGGTCATTTTCAATTAAGTGCAATGAGGACTCTCTGTAATAACAATCACTGCATGTACTACTACATCGTACATGAACAACATGTTCCATATTCCAGGTAAAGGAAAATTATACCGTTAAATTATGATGATATCCACACATTTCAGTCAAATAGAAACTATCGTGTATACGCAAAGATAAATGACCATTTGGCAAGTATATTCACGTTTAGATATTTGCCTTATTAGTATTTATAAATAAACCCAATTTAATTTCAAAATATTTCTCACAAGGAGATGTGGCTTTGAACAAGATGGTATTCCTCAGTAATATCACAGTAACCTAAAATAATAGCTCCTTAATGGCCAGCATGGATAATTAAACGATAACTCCCTTACCTTTGACGCTTCTGGTGACAAGGTGTCCCAACTCTATCCCCTGGTCACACTGTTACGACTGATTCCCAAGAGAAAGGCAATCGATGTTTGTTTGAATCTTCATATTTATCTCATTCACGAAATACAGGTAGTTCCTTTCTGAATTCCATACTGATTCAAGAACAAGGCACTGGTACATCAAACACACAGGTGAGACAGAATACCTGCAGATATCATGAAGATACCCACTTGACTACCGAAACAGTATCGACAGAGTGGGTTGTGCCTCTTGTTCGTGGGTCAGCCCACTGCAGTGAGTCATCCTCCCTATGGCTGACGATGTGGCGGTTCCCTCCCCGAAAACTCTGACCCGTCATGGAGCGGGTGTCTGAAGCAGGGTATTGTGTGATTGATGGGCCACAGTGATTTGGTTATTGCGCGACCCACATGCTGATCTTAAACCCTCCAGATCGTACCTGGTGATTACACTGTACACCCCGAAAAAGCTCATCTTTCATACAAAGGTGTCATTGGAGCCACACAAGCGTATAACGTGCTTGTCTGAAACATAATGCATTTTCAACTTGAGTTATGAGTTATGTTTTGGCGGAGATATTTGCTTTCTCGCATTATCGTAAAGGATATATTCCACTATTCAGATAATGTTTATCTAAACATCTCTTAATATGTTTAAAGTAGCGAATAAAGATCCACACGCCGTCCATTTATATATGAAACTTGGCTTAGCAGTGGCGACACTGCACGAAGCGAACAAGCAATAAGATTTTATGTTCATCGTTTAACGCCTGAAGAGTTAGTAAATAAAACGGGAAGAGATAGTGATTAAAATGCAACAAGGTATGCCCCAAAAGATATGGTGTCACATTCACTGGAGATGACGACTTTCCAAATGTACCTAACTCTTGGGTGTTCCCAACTTAAGCAGAAGTATATAGCCTAGTTAGTCTACAGATATTTATACGTTGTCTGACAAAGCTGTCGTAGACATCGCCCACGTATATGGTTTATGCTAAGTCTGAAGCCTTGTAAAATATCGAGCCAAATATTTCAGGCAACATTTTAGTCATGAACACTACATAGGGTTTCGTTTCAAGCATCATGTTTGTCATAAAAAATATGCAGGTATGCGTTTCAGACAGCATGATAGTCATGTAAATTCTAAAGGTTTAGTTTCAGGCATCATGTAAGTTATGTAAAATATACAGCCTTAGTTTCAGGCATCATGTTTGTCATGTAAAATATGCAGGTATTTATTTCACACAACATGTTTATCATGTAAAGTGTGCTAGGTATATGTTTCAGACAACATGTTCGTCATGTAAAATATGCAGGTTTAGTTTCAAGCATCATGTTTGTCATGTACAATATGCAGGTATTTATTTCTTGCATCATGTTTGTCATGTACAGTATGCAGGTATGTATTTCAGGCAACATGTTTGTCATGTACAATATGCAGGTATTTATTTCAAGCATCATGTTTGTCATGTAAAGTGTGCAGGTATTTATTTTAGGCATCATGTTTGTCATGTACACTATGCAGGTATTTAATTCAGGCATCATGTTTGTCATGTACAATATGCAGGTATTTATTTCAGGCAACATGTTTGTCATGTACAATATGCAGGTATTTATTTCAGGCAACATGTTTGTCATGTACAATATGCAGGTATATATTTAAGGCATCATGCTTCTCATGCACAATATGCAGATATTTAATTCAGGCATCATGTTTGTCATGTACAATATGCAGGTATTTAATTCCTGAATCATGTTTGCCATGTACAATATACAGGTATTTATTTCAGGCATCATGTTTGTCATGTACAATATGCAGGTATGTATTTCAGGCAACATGTTTGTCATGTACAATATGCAGGTATTTATTTCAGGCAACATGTTTGTCATGTACAATGTGCAGGTATTTATTTCAGGCATCATGTTTGTCATGTACAATATGCAGGTATTTATTTCAGGCAACATGTTTGTCATGTACAATATGCAGCTATTTATTTCATACGTCATGTTTGTCATGCACAATATGCAGGTATTTATTTCAGGCGTCATGTTTGTCATGCACAATATGCAGGTATTTATTTCAGGCAACATGTTTGTCATGTACACTATGCACGTATTTATTTCAGGCATCATGTTTGTCATGTTCAATATGCAGCTATTTATTTCAGGCGTCATGTTTGTCATGCACAATATGCAGGTATTTATTTCAGGCAACATGTTTGTCATGTACACTATGCACGTATTTATTTCAGGCATCATGTTTGTCATGTTCAATATGCAGCTATTTATTTCAGGCGTCAAGTTTGTCATGCACAATATGCAGGTATTTATTTCAGGCAACATGTTTGTCATGTACAATATGCAGGTATTTATTTCAGGAATCATGTTTGCCATGAACAATATGCAGGTATTTATTTCAGGCAACATGTTTGTCATGTACAATATGAAGGTATTTATTTCAGGCAACATGTTTGTCATGTACACTAGCCAGGTATTTATTTCAGGCATCATGTTTGTCATGTAATATATGCAGGTATTTATTTCAGGCAACATGTTTGTCATGTACAATATGCAGGTATTTATTTCAGGAATCATGTTTGTCATGTACAATATGCACGTATTTATTTCAGGCAACATGTTTGTCATGTACAATATGCAGGTATTTATTTCAGGAATCATGTTTGCCATGAACAATATGCAGGTATTTATTTCAGGCAACATGTTTGTCATGTACAATATGAAGGTATTTATTTCAGGCAACATGTTTGTCATGTACACTAGCCAGGTATTTATTTCAGGCATCATGTTTGTCATGTAATATATGCAGGTATTTATTTCAGGCAACATGTTTGTCATGTACAATATGCAGGTATTTATTTCAGGAATCATGTTTGTCATGTACAATATGCACGTATTTATTTCAGGCAACATGTTTGTCATGTACAATATGCAGGTATTTATTTCAGGAATCATGTTTGTCATGTACAATATACAGGTATTTATTTCAGGAATCATGTTTGTCATGTACAATATGCACGTATTTATTTCAGGCAACATGTTTGTCATGTACAATATGCAGGTATTTATTTCAGGCATCATGTTTGTCACGTACAATATGCAGGTATTTATTTCAGGCAACATGTTTGTCATGTACAATATGCAGGTATTTATTTCAGGCAACATGTTTGTCATGTACAATATGCAGGTATTTATTTCAGGCATCATGTTTGTCACGTACAATATGCAGGTATTTATTTCAGGCAACATGTTTGTCATGTACAATATGCAGGTATTTATTTCAGGAATCATGTTTGTCATGTACAATATGCAGGTATCTATTTCAGGCAACATGTTTGCCATGTACAATATGCACGTATTTATTTCAGGCAACATGTTTGTCATGTACAATATGCAGGTATGTATTTCAGGCAACATGTTTGTCATGTACAATATGCAGGTATATTTCAGGCAACATGTTTGTCATGTACAATGTGCAGGTATTTATTTCAGGCATCATGTTTGTCATGTACAATATGCAGGTATTTATTTCAGGCAACATGTTTGTCATGAACAATATGCAGGTATTTATTTCAGGCATCATGTTTGTCATGTACAATATGCAGGTATTTATTTCAGGCAACATGTTTGTCATGAACAATATGCAGGTATTTATTTCAGGCATCATGTTTGTCATGTACAATATGGAGGTATTTTTGGGGGGCATCATGTTTGTCATGTAGAATATGCAGGTATTTATTTAAGGCATCAAGTTCGCTATGTAAAATATGCAGGTATGTCTTTCAGGCAACACGTTTATACAAAATATCGAGGTAAATTAGACGACTGTTGGGCATCATAATGAGATGTAAATGTTTCAGACAAAATGTACAATATTCAGTTATGTCTTCTTTGGCAAAATGTCAAATCATATACACCATCCAGTTTTTGTACCGGTCAACATGTAAACTCAATGCACCATCACGTTACATGTACCGTACAACGTGTAAAATCACATACACCATCAAGTTATATGTACCAGACAAGATGTAAAACCATATACACCATCACGTTATATGTAGTGGGCAAGATGTAAAACCACATACACCATCAAGTTATATATACCGGGCAACATGTAAAAGCATATACACTATCAAGTTATATGTATCCGGCAACATCTAAAACCATAAACACTATCAAGTTATTATGTGCGGGCAACATGTAAAAGCACATGCACCATCAAGTTATATGCACCGACAATTCTGAATTACGTATGTACAAATCACTATTTCACTACACTGCTTTAACTAAAAACAGGATGGCGCGGATAAATGTAACGAAGTTTTGACTGCCCAGTGATTCAGCCCACCACGCCCAGTTTACGAAATTAGAAGCATGGGTGTGAAGCCATCACGACCTAAGATACACAAAGCTATCACGCAATGGATTCACCAGATGATTACTCTCAAGTGAGGTGTTATATATTATACCATATATTAAAAGCCATCCTATTTTTGTCACGTATGCATGGATATTTGTGGATCAAAAAGAAGAATATCACGTAACCCGTTTATACTCTCTGTATCAGCTATCACATATCACACAGAATGGTTTCATCTCTGTAATCGACACTCCAGTTTCTTCTCACAAAGCCACCCTCTTGCCTTATCAGTTAGTCTTGTATAAAACCAACACCATGGCTTAGTTTAAATTACCATTTTTCAAGTTTAAGTAGCGTAACGCTAACATCATAGTGGGAATGTTTGGTAATGTGAGTTCGAAACATGTGTTTTCAGATAATAAATGATTCTCATTAACCGTGAGAGGCATTACTTCTTAACGACTTAAGTAAGACAGTTTTGGGTTTGTTGGCAAAGGCCGACAAAGGTGTATGTCATAAAACGTGTATGTGTATATCAAAGATCTCCGTAACAGCAACACCCCAAACAGCCGTGCCGAGGATATCTGCTGTCAAAACATGAAATAACACCGGGACAGACCGGAAACGTTCCAAAACATTGCAGAGGACGTGTATATTTAGATATTAGACGATTCAGGTAACCGTCGCCACGGACTAATGACGGTATCGCAATATCAGTCTCTGTACTACATGTTGTGACGTTTTAATGCAACATCGCTACAGAGAGATTGAAATCTACACCGTTGCTACAGTCGCTATCCAGATGCTACCTTGCATCATAAAACAGCTATGGGAACATCT